ACGATACAAGAAACTCAAAAAAATTATCTAACCTCATTCCATTACTCAGAAACTCTTTCGGCGATTTCATAACCAAAAATTTACAGATGGCGAACCTGCTAAATAACAAGTTCTCAACTCTTGGATGCTTTTATGAAAAAAAATTCAAAAATCAGGCAAAGTCCACCGACTTCTACATGCAACATTTGAAATAATAATAAGTTTTCATTCCGATTCATCACATCAGCTGAATGTAAAAAAGAAAAGCATAGTTTAAATTATCAAAAGGCACTAGGTTCATCCGAAGTTCCAGCCTGGGCATTAAAGGATGGCTGCAATGAAATATACCCACATCTGACATTTCTATACAATGAGTTTTTGAAAAACAAGACATATCCTTGCAAGCTCAAAAAAGCAATTGTCACACCAATATACAAAAGAGAAGATCCAGAACTACCAGAAAATTATAGGCCTATCTCTATAACTACGGCTCTCTCAAAAATTTTTGAAAAATTGTTATATAAACAAATCAACGAATATCTGATATCCCAAAAATTACTTTAAAAAAATACCCAATTTGGGTCCAAAACATCATATTCAACAATCGACGCTACTCTTTATTGCACTGAAGCATTCAGAAAAGCAATAGACAACAACAAAACTGTAGCATGTTCCTTACTGGATCTCTCTAAAGCATTTGGTTCTATTGATCATACTTATCTTAAACAGAAAGTAAAAGGGTTAAATTTTTCCGAAGAAGCTATAGAAATGATCAATTCCTTTATCACCAACCGAAGCCAGAAAACAATTGTTAACAACACCGAATCCGATTGTGTTGCACTTGAGCAGGGTGTCCCACAGGGCACTGTCCTTGGCCCTCTAATATTCAATCTCTACATTAACGATATCAACAAACAAATTCACAAAACATGTAAAATAGTTCAATATGCAGATGATACATTACTATTCTGTGAAAATAACGATCCACAAAAAGCTCTTAAAGCACTCGAAGCCAATTGCAGTCTGTTGTCAAATTATTTTTTAGAACACTCACTTCAGTTGAATGCAAAAAAAACAGAACTCATCGTTTTCAGCAAAAAACATTCAAGAAAAAAGGATGAAAAGTATACAATAACTCTAGATGATAAAAAAAAATTGAGGAAAAAACCAATGTTAAATACCTAGGAGTAGTTTTAGATCCGTTTCTCACATTCCAAGATGAAATCAAAAATATTCTCAGGAAAATGGCATGCGGAATAAAAACACTTCAATCAATCAAAAAGCCATTGCCAGTTAAAACAAGACTCTTGATAATGCATGCACTGGTAATTAGTCATTTGCATTACCCAGCAATTGTTTTAAAAGGAAGATCCGCTAACCTAATGATATCTATGGAAAAACAGTTAAGCTGGGCAGTTAAAACTTGCTGCGATCGTGCAAAACACGACTCATCTTCAGACTTGAAGCAAAAACACAATATATTGCCAGTAACAATGTTTCTGGACCATTAAATATTATGTCACTTTTGGAAAATACAACATCAATTATTGCCAGCCTAAAATAACATTGAGTATCATAATCACCAAATAGATATTAATACAAGAAACAAAAAATTATAGTTCAGCGACAGATACAATGGCAATACATAGAAAATTCCTTCTTTAGAAAGTCCGTCATAATCTGGAACAAACTAACAGATGATAAAGTCAACTTTAAAGACATACTTACATACAGAAAAGCAAAGATAAAATTCAAGAATTATTTTTTGTTATTATTTAAAGAAGACCCCTCTGTGGCAAATCATGGTAAAGCTACATGGAAAAGCTTCAAGTTTATATAATAACATTTATATATAAACCACCTTGAAGCTCTCAGGAGAAAAGTAATCATCGATAATTGTAATAGATTTTGTTTTCTTTATTGTTATTGTAACTATGCGTATCTAATCATGTTATATTATTTTAATGATTTTATAGAAAAAAAAACTTTTGACATACACTTGTGTATTGAAACTAATTTCGATGTGCAATTAAAGCGTTTTTTTTATAAACTAAACAGCCAATACCCATAAGCTACTCACACTAGAGGCTTTGCATATTTGGAGGGAGAGGCCGAGGATCAACACACGCGATGAACTCAGGAGCCGGGAATTAACACTTAAATTATAGTCTATGTATAACAGAGGGCGCAAACATCGAAACCAACTCACTAGATGCGAGAGAAATCTTAGAGAGCACTAATCTTGAGCCCAATGAAAATTTGATATCTCTAGATGTGAAGAGTTTGTACACAAATGTTCCACTGAAAGAAGCAATAGACTTAGCTCTGAGAAAACTGTCTGAACAAGATGAACCACCATCAATTGCTAGGAAAACCATGAAGAGACTGTTGAACATGGCAGTTAGTCAAGTCCATTTCAAGTGCAATGAAACATGGTACGTTCAGAAAGACGGTTTGGCAATAGGGGCATCTCTTGCCGTTATTTTAGCAATTTTCTGGCTGAAGCAGTACAAAACTGCAGTATCGAGGGATATTCCCGAAATGTTTTTGCCCGAGAAAGATCTTAACGGAATATGTCCCGAGTGTAATAAGAAAATCACGTACAGATCAAAAGGTTTAGAATGTGAATGCTGTTTGAACTGGTATCACGTAAAATGCGGTGATATATCATATGATGAGTGTCGAAATACAAGTGAAACCGTCTGGTACTGCAGAAATGCATCGCAATAAAAGAGAAAAACAAGTCAGTGCAACAAGCTATGCTATTTCTCCGTTACGTTGAAGATATAGTGAGAACAGTGAAGGGTGATCCTGAAAAAGTGCTACGGGCTGCAAACTTACTTCATCCAAATTTACAGTTCACAATAGAGAAACTTGGCATTTTTGGATTTACAAATTAGCATTGACAAAAGCAGGAAAATTAGCTGTGGGTGGTATCAAAAACCAACAGATACAGGTACCATACTAATTTTTAGAAGCTGCGCCCCCCTTCAGTACAAGAGAAAAGTGATTGAAGGAACTGTTCACCGGATTTTCCGCAGTACGTCAACATGGGAAGAATATGATAAAGCTAAGGAAATCAACCGTGAGCAGTGGTTGGATAACCAATATCCGGAAAGTTGGTCGTCGCGGGTTGCATCCCATGCCCTTGAAAAGATCATCAGCGAGGGCTAAAACAAAAAAGAACATGGCTGAGAAAAAGAAGCCCTGTGATTATAGCAGTGATTCACCAACCATCTTGATGGTCCAATATAGGGGGAATCACAGCCAGACATTAGCAAAAAAAAAGTGCGCGAATTCACCAATGCGCTGATAATATTCACGACGAGGAAAATGAAAACTTGTATGCCCTCTCTAAAATCCTCCTTTTCCAGTGAACTGAAATCAAAAGTGGTGTACAGACCTGAATGTTGTGGATGCAAATCCATTAATGTTGGCCAGACGGTCCGACATCTCACCACAAGGGTTGAGGAACACCGAAAAGAGGATACCCCAGTTGGACAGCATATAAGGCAGTGTGGTAGTGAGAGTGGTAAGTCTGAGTTTAATTGGAAAATAATCGACCAGGCGTCCAGCAGCATCAAGTTACTTACATTAGGAAAGAGAGACCGGCAATAAACACGCGCGACGAGTTTAGAAGTAGGGTGCTGACAGCAAGGCTATAGTTCCAGAATCAAAAAATTCTGGCTAAAACAAAATTTTTAAAACAACTTACATGTTAGCATGAAAATTAGCAACAAAACGAAAATGTGAAAACAAAAACGATGAAAACTCTCAGAAATTTGTGACAAAATGTTTAAAGCTGTTACATAATAGTTGTTACATAACTTCAGTGATATTTTTGATTCAGTGATATTTGTGATATATGACACTTTTTATGAACTTTGATCATTTTTTACAGATAGTGTAGAATTTTTAAAACCTGAAGATTCACAAAAATGTGTGAAAACGTTTGTTTGAAGTTACAATTTTAACGCAATCTCAAAATATGTATAACATGGCTAAAAGTTTAAAAAACTGACATGTCAGAATTAAAAATATTCCCAAATCGAAATTTTATAACCATGAAAGATCAAAAAGTTTAAAAAATATCACGAATTTACAGGAAAATTTTTTTATTGATTACGTAATTTATTATGTAATTACAGTTGTTTAAATTTGATTGGTCAAAAAGTTTTAAAGCATTTTTAGACATGTTTATCATTTTCCAGATCTTTGATCGCTTTGTAAATATTGTAAAAAATTTTAATCCTGATGATGCACATAATGTGCGAAAACGTTTGAATTAACATTTTAAATTTCATACAAGAGATAGTGTCCCTGACTCTTGAGCCAATGGTTATAGGGCCTATTTTTCTTAGCCTCATATCTTACTTTAGTAGGCGACTGTTACAATTGGCATGAGATTCGACGCGAGCATTGAAGACGTTACCCAACTCAGGCACACCGTTGATCACAAATTGGTTCACATTTTTTTTGTAAGTCGGCAGGTGTAGTCTTAGTATTGCCAGTACCATTAGTTAATACATCACGACGTTTTCGTTTCTACATGTGCCTTCACTACATTTTTGTTTATTTGTGCAGTTAGAGATTTTTCAATAATACGCGGTATTTCACATTCAACAGTAGATAAAACTGTAGACTCAATGTTATTAATCAAATCGGTTGCCTCGTTAAACATGGAACAAAACTTAGATTCGTATTTGAAGGTATCCACTTCCAGGCAGTGGTCACAAATCCAACGGCAATTTTTGATTTTACCCATCCACGATGCTTCGTCAGCTGATAGAGGAACACACGCTCCATGAAACCAATTTCCACATTTCTCACATCCAATAGCTGTAGCATCATCGTGTTTCACTTTACTTTTGCAGTGGTCACATTTGCAAGCAGACGTTGATCCAATGCGGTTGCGTTGTGATGGCATTCGTAAATGAAAAAATATTTAATAAGATAGGTTAACATGATAGGTTTTGACCCTCTGATGTATGAAAATAAGAAATGAGAAAAATATTTCAGATCAAGTTCCTTTTGAATATGAATAAACGCAGACAGAGCATGAAGTTTGCCAAAACAAGCAAATCTAGCCGGAAGTACGCGTCGCAGTGGAGCTGTATATATCCCGAGACAGGCGAGGAGATGGAATTCTTCTCCGATCATCCGACGGTTGAATTGAACGGAATCTCTCGTGAAGTCCTGAGCAGGAAAGAGGAACTCAAAATTATTGAAGATAATCAGAGGTAGTGTTAATTTGTTGAAGGATACACTGATCGAGGAACCCTTTATTGTATCAATAAATAGTTCACAGTGTCAACCATACATTGTTAATTCTCATCCCTGTTAAACCACGATAGTAGAGTATTCTATATTCTTACCAAAGTTAACTAAAGTAAAAACGAATGAGAAGCTCTTTTCTTAATTATCCTTGTGATCGATGACGCCGTTCACGGAATAGTCACTTTTGAAGGAACTGATAAATGGTAATTGCAAATGTAATCAGAAAGAACTTAGCAAATATAATCAAAATTGACATGAGAGAAACAAGCGGACTGAAGAAGCGAATATTGTGGTTATTTTGGAGAAAAGTTGAAGGACTATGAACAAAGAACAAGTGCACATGAAGAATAGCTTGCGATTGCACACTGAATGACTGTAGAAGCAAAACTTCACTATCGAACAAACAACTGACGGGGGAATCCCCTTTTGCTATGTGCACAAAATCCCCACTTATGTATTAGCTATGTACCGTTTTAATTGTACCGCTTATGTAGGGTTCGTGATTGCTTTGTAGGCGGTTCATGCCAGTTCTCGGAATGTACTTTTTTCTCCGGCATAGTTTTGTTTATTTCCAGCTTATTGGATGTCGCCCGTATTGTGTTTTTTCTTTTTCCTTTGTAACAGTCGTTCACTCACGTCACATATGAGGTTAAGAAGAATAGGCCCTATAACCATTAGAATAGAATAGGCCCCCGCTCAAGATAGAAATTAGTACGCCCCCATGACTAGGTCTCTAAATTCTTAAAACACGCGAAAGCCATTAAAACAGAGTCGGAACCTCAATTAAATAATATTAGTTTTTTGTTGGACAGTGGACATTTGATCCATTTCTTTGATAGTAATATAACTACTCTAACTCTAGAAGTTTGAATAAGATAATGAGTTCACCTCAAGAAGTTTCAATGAGAGTTTTTGGACCATTGGGTCACTTGAGTGGGCGACCTTCCCAATCAAGGTTCCTCTTGCTGCAAGCGTAGCACCCGCGAATTCACTCTCGATGCTCTCTATCAGTTCTCGATGCTCTCGATCAGGAACAAGACATCTCTGCTCAAGTGTGATATTATCTGGCAAATTGCGAATATTATTTTGTCTTGACAATTTTTTCACAACTTTCCCGCAACTGTAAATTTGGTTGTTCTGATTTTATGACTTTCTGTTTCAGTTATTGCGAGCAACTTGAGCATGATGGGTCCAATTCGAGTTTTTGAAAAATTCCATTTGAACCAAAAATGACTAGAACTTTCATATGACCGACTGGCACACTTATGTTCTTTCTAATAATTTCTTGGCAATATTTTGAATTGAATTGTCAAAGCTTAAAGTCAATTTCTCCGACTCCTTAAAAATTGAAAATAAAAAATTTTCTCAATCATATCCTCTTTGGCAAAGATAATTGAAACAATAGCATCACAGTTTAAGAACAGTTTTCCTGGTTTCTCTTTTCGATTAGTTCGTTCGTCAACTGATTTTTTGTTTTGATTTTAGCGCGTTGTAGCCTATAATTTTGCAAGGGCGATCGTGTTGAGGAATAGACTTGGATTGAAAGCTTAATTGCAATCACCAGAAAGTTTTGAATGGAGAAAACTCTTTTGTCATCTAATACCCCTAGATTAAAGTTCTGTTAGTGACGAAAGAACGCAAAAGGAAGTCTGTTTTTTTTCTTCTGCATGATGTGTGGGTATTTTTTTCCTGTTTGTATGGACTTAGCTTCTTGCTTCCTAGCTTCTTATTTTTTGCTATATATAAGAAGTTTTGTTTGTAGGCTCAAGATAATGACATAATGTTTTTTTTTCAAATATCGCAAAAATTTTCGAAAAAGAAGCTAGGAAGCTTCTTCCTTCCTAGTTTCTTATTTTTTGCTATAAATAAGAAGTTTTGTTGTTTGTAGGCTCAAGATAATGACATGATGTTTTTTTTTCAAATATCGCAAAAATTTTCAAAAACCTGATGTTTTGATTTCGTGTATTGTCATATAGTCTTTTCTGTCTGAAAATGTTTAGCGGTAACAGTTCTCGAGCTGTTAGTACTTAGTAATAGTAATTAGTAAGTACTAACGGCTATCGTGTTTATTATCATTTTGATGTTTCGAGCGGTTAGGCATGTGCAATGAGGGATGCTTGGGTTACACCTATTCCTCTAGATTCAACCTCATCGATCGGAGCAAGTCAGAGCTTGATTGGAATATTTTTTAGTCTCTTTCTATCTGACCAGTTGGTTTACTGCTCGGTTAAATCTCACTCTCTCTTTCTAATGGTTTGTAGAGTTAGTTATCAATGTTTACATAAGTAAAGTAAATATTTTATTTTGAGCTCCAGTTTAATGTTAAGGTGAAATACATAATCATTTATCAGATTGGCAATTATCAAGAGCATGGCGTCGTGCAGGGACGTCACACAACCTCTCAAGGAGAAATCTTCCCGGGTGGTTGAATTTTTTTCAACTGGATAAATTTACAATGATTCAGGCAACTAAATTTACAATCAATTTCGATAACTATTGCTGCTTTTTATCGTAAAATATCTATCTATCGCTAGAGTTAAAGGCTTATAATTCTTAGAGCAAACTTATTTAGTGCATCTTTGAAAAAAATAGAATCGCATGATAATGGTTTATAAGGGATTTTGTTGAGCCACCTTGAGTCGAGGTATAGGAAAAATGATTGATTAAAAAGTTTTAATGATAGTTTATGGTATGAAAAGAGATTCATCATGAAAGCAGGTTATCAGCCGCAACTAAAATTGCACGGCAAAAACTGTCGTTTCCAATAGTTAGCTCAGTTTTGTGCTGTTTTCGTCATGACGTATCTTTGTCGTTACTATTCTTCTGTATAGTTTCGTATTTAAATAGTTTCGCTCAATTAACGCAGGTCGTGTTTCTAAATTGCAGCTGTGATTTTGATTCTCGTTCTCAATTGATGCGTTTAAACCGACGCAGTAGCTTCATTTGTTGCATTTTTTTTTCAACAATTTAACATAGGTTTGTTTTTTCGAATTTGATCGTATTTTGTGTTTTTAATCTAAGAAAGCAATTTGTAATTTACAGTGCCTGCTTATGAATTGATATTTTACGCTTTGAGACCTACTGTACGCTATTTAGTGTCCTGTATTATCCTTCCTAAGAGCGTTTTTTGTCTCATGCGGCCCTTACTCCCTGAAAGAAAACTTTGGACTTGGGTTTTGATGAGTTTTTAACTATATTTTTACCTTTTTTTGCTCATATAATCTTCAATCGAATCTCAAAAAAAATAGTTGTCTAAGCAATGAAAATTCGAAAAATTTCAAGTTCAGTCACATCGTAAATCGGATTGAAAAAAATTCAAATTTCAAGCTGTTTAAGCTACAAAAGTTAGAAGTTTTTCATATTATTTCATAGGCTGAATCAGTGTGCGAAATTTGTAAGGTTTTTAAATCAAGCTAGTCCAGCATTTTCAAGCAAGTCCAGCAAAACAGTTCAGATGAATGTAAAATTAAGTGCTTCCAATCATTTATTTCAGTTAAACTCTTGCTCGATAAATAAGAAACCTGTTTGTAAATATTTAGTCATTTACATTTACCTTTTTTTGCTCATATAATCTTTTGTGGGGACTCTAACATGTTAAAGAGGGTTTTCCGTGATAATGGTGATGTTGTTTTTCAGGTGGAACGATTTCTGGAAAGACACCCCTGTAGTGCAGAACGAGTATGAGAAACTAGTGGAGGCTTTCAAATCTAAATGCTTGAGTGATATTAGCGCCATAGAACATAAAATATCTTGTGATTCTGATAGAATTCAACCAAGAACAGGAGGCAAAACAGATCAAACTTCGACTAAAGAAAAAATGGCTGATTTGACCAGAAAAACTCGCCAAAAATACGGCCTTGATTCTTTTTGTTTCGATGAACTGTTTGAAACCAAAGCAAGAAGCAAAAAGTCAATTGATAATTTAGCAGAAAAAATTGCAGCGGATCATCGTAGGAGTTTGTTGTCGCCTGCAAACAAGAGCACAGTTTTAGAGAATGCATGTTGCAATCTACAAAACAAAGCCAATGATGGTTTTGTTAAACACAACATCATCCGTGGTCGAAAATCTACGCCGAGCAAGCCTAAAAAAACTAAAAGAAATGACCAGTACTGTATACGAAATGATATGTCTGAATTTGTTTCGCAGATCGAGCAGTCCAATATCCAGGAGAAAGAAACGTTTAACTTGTCTGTTGATTTTTGGGAAGCGTTCACAGGCGAGAGTATGGCTTTGAATCAACAACAGGTGGACAATAAGGAAGAAACCGAATCTGTTTGTTCGGACAGCTCCTCTTTGTCGTCAAAGTAAGTCTGTGGAAATGTATTACTGGGAAAAACATACATTATAACTATTTTTTGAAGATCTAAGTAACGGGGGGGGGAGGGGAGGTGGGGGGCTCATTAACTTTAAAATTAAACTAGATCTCGATCTTTATCTTTACTATAGAAGCATAAAAACAGAGAAATTGGTAGTGCCAAACAGTATCTTTTTTCTGTCTTGAGGCGCTCGAAAACAGGCTCTTGTAGCCTAATGGCGTCTTCCCAATCTATATATTTTTAAACGACTAAATAAGAACCATATGATTATTATGGTAGCCGTAGATTGGAAACAATTTATTATGATTATTATTATTAACAGGGCCTGAATCCAGGTCAAAATTAAATCGATTCACTACAAATTTAAGGGTAAAGCAATACTTCAGTCCAGCAATGATGTTTTACTTGAGCTTTATTAGTTGATCATATCTGAGCCGCTCACAAAGCTTGAAAAACAGTTTCGATCTCATTTTTAAAGTTCTTTTGTCGAATGTATATTTTTAGAAAAAACAATCAATTTCTGTTGCAGATCAAGACTCAATTTAGTCCGAACTACAGGTGGACGTCTTTACATTCCGAAAAAGAAAACAGCAGCCGAAATTTTGGACGAATTTGGGCTGGATCTTGATTGTTTCGACCACGTTTCTCCTCGTCTTTTGAAACCAGAAGAGAAAAATGCCGGAGTCAAACCTAATTTGAAGTCGAACAGAGTTATTAAATCGGAAGTTCCGATAGTTATTAAAGACCAACATGATTTAGTTTTACGGCGAAAACCACCATTAGCAGTTTTGACCTTCAGCGAAGATTCAGATCACGTGGTTTATTACCCAGCTACTAAAAACAATCAATCAGATTTGCATATGCCGGAGAAAAGTGTAAATGCACGTCCCGGGGTTAAAAATGAGCCTCTGGAGAGTTTTGTGGAAGCTACTGGAAATAAAACTGAGTTTAAATTGAAACTTGAAGTTAGTAGAGATGATAATGACAATTTTACGTTTTTGGATAGGGATGCGAAGAAAATTAATACTGGCTCTTTCAGTATTTCTGGTGATTAAAGGAGTTGTTTTATTTAAACTCATGCATGCAAAAAGCAATTAATCATTATTTTATGTTCAAGTGTGAACAGAATATCGTGCAAAAATTCACAGGTTCATAAAATAACTGAAAAAGAAGAAGTTTGGAGTTACATGGACGACGTATTGCATATGATTTGAATGATTAATTGTTTTTTTTGAGATTCTATTTATGATACATATGTGAAGAGTTGTTTTGCTTATTGTTCTATTTTGCTTTTTGTTCAATTGCGAATTTAGTTTTTGAAAAAGTTCGTAGTTGATTTATTACCGGAAGAAGAATTTGAAGTCCAGTGATTTCTTCTTGTCCCGCTCGTATTCGAAGAAAATATAGGATTTTTTAAATCAATTTCAGAGAACGTAGAAGCAACTGATGTAACAAGATGTTTTGTTGAATTGCTAGTACGCGATAAAAGACAACATCAGAAATTGGTGAACGAACCAGTACTTTTTAAATGTCAATGAGCATAGTTAAGGCACTTAAAGGCGTGATGATTTTTCCTTTAAGAATTTGATTTTTCGCGATTTGTAGTCAGTTCATTTTTTTCGCTATTTTTTTGTAGTCAGTTCATTTCCTTTGTTAAAAACATGGTAAACAGCACTATCGAACTGCAAACGTGTAACGACCCCTAATTTCGGAAGTGTTTTTATTTTTCCGAGGTTTTCATTTAGTTTTTCTTGAATATCGAAGAGTTTTCATTTAGTTTTTCTTGAATATCGAGGGCATGTTTTTAAAGAGTCGATGAAACTAAAGTAATTCAGTCTCTTATATAAGTCGCATTGAATTGTTTTCCCCGTGTTTCCAGGAAAGGTCTTGAAGTTTGTTCAGGCTCAAATTTATTTCTTTGTGGTTTGACTTTTGATTTCTTTTGTTAAAAGGGAGGCAAACTACTCTATCGAAAAAATGTGAAAGTTTCGAAAATGGAATTCCTTTTCAGATTTCCCTGCCGAATAAAAAGTGTACCTTTCGCCCCAGCGTTCTCAAATTGGGTTCATTTTATCAAAACATTTCAAATCAAAAGTTGTTCTAGAAGTTCAAAGGGCTTTAACGCCATCTGTTTTTTTCTTCGAATTTGAAGTCAGTTTTTTTTTCTGTTTACTTGCGTTCATTGACTCTGTTCCAACTGTCTGTCGACTATGTTTTCAGAAGTTGAAATGTTTTCAGAAATAGTTCGTTTATTTTCTGTTTCACTGCAATCATTGAGACTTTGCCAACTGGCTGTTGGCCATGTCCCTCCAGTTTTGTTTTCTTTCAAAAACGTTCTCGCTGGTTCTTTTTTTTTAAAAAAAAAAACTTGCTTTGTGCATGCGAGGTGCAGCTTTAATTCTGCGTGCTTTGTTTTTCTGAAAATATAGGATTTAAAATTGTAAGGTTTTTGGAAAATTTGTCAAGATATGGCCCTCAGAAAAGTGAAAATTTCAATTTTTTTTTCCGTTTTTTGAAACTTTTTGACTTTTCTGGGAAACTACCCTCACGAATCTGCAATCTATATTTAAATGGGTAGAACTAGTTGTGGAAAGCTTCCCTGCATAGGCGATTACGCCCAATTTTTTTGACATAAAAAGTTACGGCCATCGGAAAAGTCAAAATTCCGATCTATCGACAGTTTTTTGAAAATTTTTGTTTTTCATCGAAAACTATACTGCCAAATCTGATGTTTTGGCTTCAATAAGAAGAACAGGTCGTGAAAACTGTATTGCATAATTGGTTTTGCCCAAACATTTTTACACAAAATTTTATGGGCCCCAGAAAAGTCATTGTTTTGATTTCTTGTCCGTTTTTTGAAACAGTTTGACTTCTCAAAAACAACTCAATCTGATGTCAAGGGTTCAATCGAGGCAACAGGTTGAAGAAAGACTCCGTGCATAAGATGCCATGTCTTTTATGTCTCCACGAAAATTCCAAAATCACGAAATTTTTCACTCATTTTTCACCACCATTAGCAGTTTTGACCTTCAGCGAAGATTCAGATCACGTGGTTTATTACCCAGCTACTAAAAACAATCAATCAGATTTGCATATGCCGGAGAAAAGTGTAAATGCACGTCCCGGGGTTAAAAATGAGCCTCTGGAGAGTTTTGTGGAAGCTACTGGAAATAAAACTGAGTTTAAATTGAAACTTGAAGTTAGTAGAGATGATAATGACAATTTTACGTTTTTGGATAGGGATGCGAAGAAAATTAATACTGGCTCTTTCAGTATTTCTGGTGATTAAAGGAGTTGTTTTATTTAAACTCATGCATGCAAAAAGCAATTAATCATTATTTTATGTTCAAGTGTGAACAGAATATCGTGCAAAAATTCACAGGTTCATAAAATAACTGAAAAAGAAGAAGTTTGGAGTTACATGGACGACGTATTGCATATGATTTGAATGATTAATTGTTTTTTTTGAGATTCTATTTATGATACATATGTGAAGAGTTGTTTTGCTTATTGTTCTATTTTGCTTTTTGTTCAATTGCGAATTTAGTTTTTGAAAAAGTTCGTAGTTGATTTATTACCGGAAGAAGAATTTGAAGTCCAGTGATTTCTTCTTGTCCCGCTCGTATTCGAAGAAAATATAGGATTTTTTAAATCAATTTCAGAGAACGTAGAAGCAACTGATGTAACAAGATGTTTTGTTGAATTGCTAGTACGCGATAAAAGACAACATCAGAAATTGGTGAACGAACCAGTACTTTTTAAATGTCAATGAGCATAGTTAAGGCACTTAAAGGCGTGATGATTTTTCCTTTAAGAATTTGATTTTTCGCGATTTGTAGTCAGTTCATTTTTTTCGCTATTTTTTTGTAGTCAGTTCATTTCCTTTGTTAAAAACATGGTAAACAGCACTATCGAACTGCAAACGTGTAACGACCCCTAATTTCGGAAGTGTTTTTATTTTTCCGAGGTTTTCATTTAGTTTTTCTTGAATATCGAAGAGTTTTCATTTAGTTTTTCTTGAATATCGAGGGCATGTTTTTAAAGAGTCGATGAAACTAAAGTAATTCAGTCTCTTATATAAGTCGCATTGAATTGTTTTCCCCGTGTTTCCAGGAAAGGTCTTGAAGTTTGTTCAGGCTCAAATTTATTTCTTTGTGGTTTGACTTTTGATTTCTTTTGTTAAAAGGGAGGCAAACTACTCTATCGAAAAAATGTGAAAGTTTCGAAAATGGAATTCCTTTTCAGATTTCCCTGCCGAATAAAAAGTGTACCTTTCGCCCCAGCGTTCTCAAATTGGGTTCATTTTATCAAAACATTTCAAATCAAAAGTTGTTCTAGAAGTTCAAAGGGCTTTAACGCCATCTGTTTTTTTCTTCGAATTTGAAGTCAGTTTTTTTTTCTGTTTACTTGCGTTCATTGACTCTGTTCCAACTGTCTGTCGACTATGTTTTCAGAAGTTGAAATGTTTTCAGAAATAGTTCGTTTATTTTCTGTTTCACTGCAATCATTGAGACTTTGCCAACTGGCTGTTGGCCATGTCCCTCCAGTTTTGTTTTCTTTCAAAAACGTTCTCGCTGGTTCTTTTTTTTTAAAAAAAAAAACTTGCTTTGTGCATGCGAGGTGCAGCTTTAATTCTGCGTGCTTTGTTTTTCTGAAAATATAGGATTTAAAATTGTAAGGTTTTTGGAAAATTTGTCAAGATATGGCCCTCAGAAAAGTGAAAATTTCAATTTTTTTTCCGTTTTTTGAAACTTTTTGACTTTTCTGGGAAACTACCCTCACGAATCTGCAATCTATATTTAAATGGGTAGAACTAGTTGTGGAAAGCTTCCCTGCATAGGCGATTACGCCCAATTTTTTTGACATAAAAAGTTACGGCCATCGGAAAAGTCAAAATTCCGATCTATCGACAGTTTTTTGAAAATTTTTGTTTTTCATCGAAAACTATACTGCCAAATCTGATGTTTTGGCTTCAATAAGAAGAACAGGTCGTGAAAACTGTATTGCATAATTGGTTTTGCCCAAACATTTTTACACAAAATTTTATGGGCCCCAGAAAAGTCATTGTTTTGATTTCTTGTCCGTTTTTTGAAACAGTTTGACTTCTCAAAAACAACTCAATCTGATGTCAAGGGTTCAATCGAGGCAACAGGTTGAAGAAAGACTCCGTGCATAAGATGCCATGTCTTTTATGTCTCCACGAAAATTCCAAAATCACGAAATTTTTCACTCATTTTTCATTTTATTGCAACAACTAATGTTTTCGGTGAAGCCCAATTTTTATTTTTTTTTTGAAATTACCTAATTCATCCCACATCAGTACAACAATTTCGAAAATTAACCAACAGGTACCTCCAGTTATCGCTGGGACTTTAGTGTTTATGACTGAACAGTTTCAAAAAAGGGTTTATTTCAAAAACGTTTTGCTTGTTTTGAAAAAAACTTGTTAGTGAGTGCGATGTGTAGCTTTGCTTCTGAATGCATTTGTGTTTCTGTAGGAATGGAATATAATATCGTATGGTTGGTGAGAAAATGTGTGAAACCAAATAGTAAATCCTAAACTTTCTTAAAGTTTGGCTGTTCTTCTGGGAACCGAAGACACCAAACATTTTTTTCATCAATCAAAGAAAACATACATTTTTTTATCTGTTGTAAATACCTAGTGATTAAGACAACGAAAATCGAAAACGGTTAGGCAGTGCGTGGAATGCATCATCTAGTTAGGAATTGCTATCATCAATTGAATTTTCGCGTAGTTTTGGTTCAATGGTTATTAAGTGTCAATGGACAAAGTGCAGACAACTATTTCGGTCGTTTGTTTTTTTTTGTCCGAGAAAAGCCTTGAATTTGTTCACGCTGAAAAGGAAAGCAAGGTTTCGAAAGTGGATTTTGATTAATAGATTCTGCAGAGGAACAAAAAATTAGGAACAAAAAATTACCTATTGATTCAGTTTTTTCAAATTGGGTTAGTTTCGTGGAAAATTGCCGCCTCATTTTTTCCAACTTTCTGTTGGCTATGTAATGAAATCGCCTGAAGTATGTTGCTAAGAATTATTTGTTTTTGAATAACCATGGTTCTTCTCTATTGCTAAAGACAATATAATTTAACTGAAATTGATAACGAACGTTTGAGCGAACGTTAATTGATGACAAAACTGATGAAATGAAGAAATACTGTAAAACTAGTGAAATAAATAACAATCTAAGTAAAAAAACAGTTGCAGTTCAACAGCATTTGTACTCTCCTCCCATGTGCATGGGGATGAACTCGGAGCATACGTACTGCTGAACTTCGTCCCCCTTGACGAACTTGACCCTGGAAATGGCTTCTGGGGTCATCCAGGTCTTAATGATGTTCCAAGCGGTTTTCAGAGTCCACGCCATGTTGAAGTTCACCTATTCACAAATGCTAAACGATGCCGCCCTATTAAAATAGACTACATTATTAACTACTTTAGCGTACTACTATTTATTACTTTATAATTTACTATATTTTTGTTTTTCGCTCGCTGCCTCCCCCCCCCCCCCCCTCACTAAAAATAAGTATTTATTAGCTGCAAAACCCGAAGAAATTTCTTCGGGTAAAAAAATCTTAAATAATTTTTCATACGAAATAGTGCCAAAAAGATTTCTTTAATCAGTTAGAAAAGATGACTCAAAAAGACATGCTTCATGATCCTGTGGTCAATTTCTTTTAAAGCTTTTTAACTTACTAATCTGATTGCTTGTCTATCTAAAGCTTTTTTTTCTGCTAGTGCTTACGATGTGCAGCATATATTCTGTGTTAGATTCCGAGCATTGCAGTAAAACTCCTTAATATTGGTCGATATTTTTGCAAAATTTCTTTCAATTTATTTTGTTCTGCATCGTCCTTCCTTAGAGATCTTACAATACTCAAACAAGGGTTGTGGAGTGACGAGTGAGTCGCCTAAAACTTTTATCTAATTTTTTCTTCTCTAGGGCGCACATGGTTATTCAATGTTTTGCAAGTTTTTGTACCAAAGTACCCAGGACTTCTGCCGATAAACGGTTAAGTGGATTTTGGTGTTCAGTCAGCACCATGCCAAACTTGAATAATATTTTTAAATAGTAGGCAACAGATGATCACCCCGTAGAGCAGTTGAGTGTTGCGGAAAGTGGCGATGATATTCAGCCTAGATGCCAAAATTAGTAAAGACGATGCTCATGAGAATCAATTTTTGGACCTTCTCGACCCAAAAAAAGACGCGATTTTTGCAATCAAATATCTGACATAAGATTCGCTACCAAATATCTCGGGGCAAATGGGAGCGAAAAAAGAGTTGCAATTTTTCGTAGAGGTAATGATAAACTGCGGCTTAGTGTCATTCCTCTAATAGTTTAAGGAAAAAATGGATCACTCAGCTGCTTTACTATTTTTGACTGCGTTTGCACTGAGTTAAAGGTATGTAGCGACCATACTTGAATGAATGTGGCTGTTTTTGATCCTGCTCAGGAATCTTTGAACCTTATTTGGGCATGTTCCATCTTTCAAATGATTTGGGACCATTGAAAAAGTATCTGAAACAGCAATCTCAACCCCACCCAAATTTTTGTTATCAAATTTTTCCAAAAGGCTCTCAGAGTTTTGGTACTATTTATTTGGCACATTTTTCGAGTTAATGTTTCAGCAGAGGCCAAGCAATTCCAAGTGATTGAGTTAGTAAAAGATCGACAAAATTCCTCCGTAAAACCATTTGTGCAGAAGCCACTTGAGTCATCGAGGCGAGAATTTTTTTCGGGTAGTTTTCAGATAACGCATAGATTCATTTTAAAGTTTGCAATAGTGATATAATGTGGGTTGAATTTTGTAAATAAAAAGCTCTTGCCATTCATTTACCTTGCTTTAGCGCGAATTTCTTTAAATCTTAAAATTCTAAATAGAGTTTAATAGAAATTATGATTTGTCGCGGACGTGATTTTTTATGAGCACCATCTTTTCATTATACCGAGGAATTTTTGCGAAAATATTAATTGAAAAAGTTTGGAAAATATTTATTTTAAACAGGTATGCTTGAAATGTGCTCGTAGTATTTTCAATCGTGACGACCCGAACTTTTTTTTCGATGTTATACTCGACAGTCCTGTGTCAACTCTGAAATCTTCCTCTGTGAAGATATACTTTGAAAGTCGAAGCGTAAAGCCTATGAATAAGACCACCTTATATTTTTGATTGTGATTAAGAAAGAGTAATCAACTTGGATTTTTTCGAATTACATTTGTTCACTACCGCTTCACCTTCTTAAAATTACCTAAACTTGATTAACTCTGGAGCCAATTGTCACCTGGAATGCAAGCAGGTCAGGATAGTGATTCTCAAACAAGTTAACCGCAAACCGAGTCAACTCATAATCGAAGTTAGTAATCCCAATCCCTGTCATGTCATTGACGAAAATAAGCCTCTTGTCTCCCCTCTGCTGGTAGAGTTTCTCCAAGTGGTACACGAAGTATCTGGACCAGATCTCGACGTCATTTTTGGTTCTCTTCAGGCGGTTCATGTACATCCAAATAATTCTTCGCCCTTCTTTGTCGGTTCCTTTTTAGGATAAGATATAAGATCAATCAATTTTAAGGCCCCAGATAATTTTTTGTGGATCAAGTTTTTGCTTGGATTCTCAGACCCAGTTTTTGCTTGGATTAAAACTTTTAAATTACTCATCTCTGCGTGAAAAATGATTTTGCATGGGTAAAGGTTTCAACATAAGGCCAAGTTAACATCCTCTTCCAAATCTTCAGCCAGGGTCTCAAAATCTCGAATTTTAAGATAATTTTTAAGATACTTCGACTCCGGCTATTTAGAGATAGTATCAAGCACATGGAAACTTTAAACTGAACTTAAATGGGAGCAATACCTTCAGACTCGCTTATCTAATCTGTAAATTAATAATAATAGTAATAATAAAACATTTTTAGAGAGAATATGTTGAAGTAGTGTATTGTGTAGTATAGAAAGAACAGTTGTTTAACTTGAATTGTAAAGCAACTGTAAGGCATCAAATATAAAGCTTACTGCAGCTTTCTGTTTTAGATCGTACCGGACGATAGAGATCGCAAGGTCACGACAGCAGGTCCCCAGACAGAAAGAAACAAATTCATATAGCTTACATAAACTCAAACTGGTCCCTATCTCATTCGGGCAACCACAAATAAATTTTAGATCGTAGATGTAAAATTTATCAACTCATCTTTAGTTAAAGTTTTAATAAACAGTTTTAGTTTCGACTTGAGTTTCTGAGTTTTCAGGCACGCTCGCCAAACCTCTCATTAAGGTTTTTCTTCATCGCTCACTTGTGTTCGATCCGGTGAATCATCCTTCCACCCATTTTATCGACTCCTCTCCGTTGTCGCGTCGATTTTCGCGTTGCCTCCTCGCCCTGCTTTCGCTTACTACCGACGGTTTTAGGTGTCTGTTCTTTATCCGTTCCCGACGGTTCATTCTCTCCGCCGCTCGCTGCAATTTTCGCCGCTTCGTCAGTGCGCCCCATGACTGCCCCGTCGCTATCTCCATCTTCGTCGCTTTCGTCCTCGCTATACTCGACTATTCGATTTTTTTCTCGTTTTCCGCGCTCGTTCCATATCTTCGTCTTCGCTGTCCTCGACTACTCGATTTTTCTTCGTTTTCCGCGCTTGTTCCATTTCTAATTGGTTCTTTTCAGCTTTCCTCTTATACTTTGTAGGCTTGCTTGGAACCGGGGTGCTCTTGATGGGTTTGCTTGGACCCGGAGTGCTCGCGTCGATCCTTTCCTCAATTCGGCTTTCTTCAGCCGCCGATCTAAATGAAACACCACTTCGCCTAAATAATGACCCTTTTTCCATTTGCACCGTGTGTTTCGTTAATTTTTCAATTTTTAATGGTAAATGTTTAATCTTCTTGGGTCCGTTTTTCCGGTCTTCTGGAATACCGCCGTGGTACTGGTTTTGTGTCTTTTTAGCCATTCTGGTGCCTTAGGCAATTCTCGTGGTGCCTTGGGATCCACCACCTCCGTGGCATTAGGGTCCACGTCCGTCTCGATCAGGTCATGCTCATCTAAAACCCTAGGAGTTCTACGGTTTTCCGGGGCGTACACAGGATCGCTCCGTTTCTCCCAATCGAGAGTTAATTCCACATCAGGTAGACCTCTCGCCTTGTCTAAACAAGATAACTTCTGGTTAATGACATTGTTTCAATTTAGATTTTTCATTGATAGCTTTCTCGTCAAATTTCGAAGGGCCGTATTCGCTTCTCTTCCATGATAAGCCTCAAATGGCGTTAGCTTGGTCTTAGAATGCGGCCCAAAACGTAGCGCGCTCAGCGCACGGGATATTATTAATCCAAATTAATGGTTTTCATTCTCCTGGAGGTATGTCAGCACGTAGTTTTTTATCGAGCCAATTGTCCGTTCGACCATTCCCGTCGCACGGTGGTCCTTAACCGGAGATTTCATTAGTTCAATTCCCTCATAATTACAGAAATTTTGTATTTCATTCGAGAAAAAACCAACCACCTGATCCATACGTAATTTCCCTGGGTGCCCATGGGTATTTATGTACTTCCTTAGGAATTTTAATACATTTTTAGACTTGTTACTGGAACAGACATAAGCCGACGGCCAATGCGAAAACGTATCTACTGCTACTAGTACATGTTTCTTCCGACCCCGTACATAATTTACCGGACCCCAGAAGTCTAATTGGACCAAATCATTGGGTTCATTAGGCACTTAAGTGTCCCCATTATCATTCTTTGGAATGTCTGGCTTAAGATTTTTTCCTGCTTCTAAGCAGCTTTTACAATATTTGGCTGTGGCGGCAATGTTCCTATGCGTCAGCGGTATCCATACTTCCTTCACGGCGGAAAAAAAAACTTATCTCGTCCGTGGTGGTTGAAATGCAATCGGTTTAACACTGCTGACGACATATCCTTCAGTATGGCCAGCCGGCCATCCATCCGCAGACAGTTTTCGCGCACAGCAAAATCGTTGTAATGTTGGGCGTAATATTGCCCCAATCTGGTAATGATGTCCATGGCTCGTGGGTCCTTATCTCGGATCGCGTCGCGGATCGTCTTTAGTATCGGGTCTTTTTCCAAATTGGCTTCGACTAATTTCAAATTTAGAATCTCAGGGTAATCGATTTTAACTACTTTACTATCAGTAGGCACTATTGAATAAATCTATTTATCATTCTGCACAAGTGGATAAGATAATCCGGGAAACTGATGGGGAATTGAAATAACAGTGTTTAACTTTTTCGAATTTGTCGGTTTCGGAATAACTTTTTCTGGCGGTATTACTTCTATATCAGAATCAGAACTTAAACTCGGCGGCTGGTTTAATCGGTTTAGAACTACATTGAGGTTTACATCGCCGGAATGGGTTGAGGTATTATCAATAGCAGAAGCTCTTGGATAGCTTTTCTCGGGTGAATTGATTGATGACATATTTTTTGTACTTTTATCTTGAATATCACAACTTGATTTTACGTACTGAGAACAACGTCTGATTTTCTCGCTTCGGCATTTGCATATTTCCGCCGGTATGCAAATCTCTCGATTCTGATTGGCTAACCGTCGGTTGCATGTAACCACGCCATCCAGTGAGCGCGTGTGCTCACGGTGAATATTTGCATATTCAGCTTTTCTTTTAGTTTCATTGGATACAACTTTTCTCTTTGAATAGAGGCATGACCGTTCGGCCTCTACCGTCGGTTTTGTCTTAATTTGATTCACTTTCTGACCCCTAGGCTTCAACTGATCCTTAGGTTTTAATGCTTCGTTGATCATGTTTATTTTCGCTACTGTAAAACTTTAATCATAATGACTTGTCTCGGGTGCCGCTGCGGATGGAAACCGAGGCAAATAGTCTGCCATTCCCTTTTTTGACCCCTGTATATGTTCAACTTTGAAATCATAAGGTACTAAATGATCGTACCATCGAGTTAACCGGCTAAAAAATGTTTTATTTCCTTTTGGGGAAGAATTTAATAGTGTAAGCAACGCTTTGTGATCTGATATACCTGTAAAATAGCGGCCATATATATAGTTTCGAAAATGTTCCGTAGCCCATACTACCGCGAGTAACTCTAACTCATTTGTAGAATGTTTTTTCTCGGCCGGATTAGGGTACCGTGACGCAAACGAAATTGGATGCCAACCGGAGGCGCTGTGCTGTTCTAACACGGCTCCTAGGCCATCGTGACTAGCATCACAACTTATCCTCGTTTCACGGTGAATATCGAAATGTCTAAGTTCCACTATGTTTTCACTAGCGATTTTAAATGTTGAAGCGCATTCTCGCAATTAGGCGTCCAGACAAAATCGTTATTCTGACTGAGTAATGGTGCGCTCACTTCCGCGAGTTTTGGCAAAAACTTATGCAAACTGTGCATCGAACCCATCAGTGATTTTAATTGCTTTCTAAATTTTGGGGTTTTCAAATCTTCTACCGCTTGTGTTTTCCGGACTTACGGCGCGATGCCACTTTCCCCAATTCGATACCCTAGCCATTCACACTCCGTTTTTGCAAATTCGCATTTTCGTAATTTCAACGAAACATTTGATACGTCCAACTTCTTTAATATTTTTTTCACTAATGCAATATGCTTACTTTAGTTCCCTTGGATGCAATTAGAATATCATTGATGAAAGCGTTTGCCGGGGGGAATTCTTAAAGTAAATTATCAATGACTTTTTGAAACTCCGCTGGCATTGATGTGACCCCGTAAAACCCGTTTTTAAAGCGATAAGTTCCCGTCGATTTTCCGCCGACTAGTGAAAAATTGCATTGCTCGCTCGTCTTTTGTTCTTAGGAAACTTGTCCGTACGCGTATGTGAAATCCAAGGTTGTAAAGTATACATCCCCCGCTTTTCTTTCTGCAATTATTTGATTTATCCCGTCTAATAGTTCGTCAATATTTGGCATTTGGTACTTATTCTTGTGTACATGTTTTTTCAGTTATCTTGATTCTAATGCCAATTTTATACTTCCATCTTTTTTTTACTGTGATTACTATAGGAGAGACAAAGTACTTATCCGAACATTCTTGTAGTTTGATGATATGACCTTCTTTTATCAACCGATCATTTTGTTTGTCTACCTTATCTTGTAGACTGATAGGCACCCGACGCCCCTTCTGTTGTATCGGCTTTAGGATTTCAAAGAATTCGGCTCTTACTTTAGCGTTTCGGAATTTTTCCTATTCTGGTAAATAAATTTGGGTACAACTTACAGAAATATGTTGGTAATTCATCATATTCCTCCTTTTCTTGACTGCTCCCTTCCCCGTGATTCCCATCACTTTCCTTCTTTGCACCAACTCCAGGCCTAGGGTGCCCATCAGATCGCGCCCAAGGATTGGCTGATGATTTCCAGATATTACTGACACTTGTGCTGGTGCTGTCACCGCTACCTTTCCAAGTATGTGTATTCGGTTGTTATTGTAGTCCAAAAATTCATCTTGAGAGGGTTGTAATTGAATATTAGTTTTACCTAATGTTGCTTTCAGGTCCGTCATGCTGAAAATCGTCACAGGAGATCCGCTATCTATCCACATCTTCTTTCCCGACACCTCGACCTGGACTCGGGCCCCAGGGATCTTCAGTTCCGTCACGTTCTTCTTCTTCTTGATTGGCATCACCATGTAGTCATCGGATCCTGACGTCATGGATTCATTCTCCCCGCTTCCTTGCTAATTCACCCATGCCACTGAATCTTCCGCCACATTATCGACACTCTGCATGCTCTGATGGTGCTCATTTTCAACCCTCACCAATCCGACTCGTCCTCGTCCCCTCCACTGGTTAGTACCTTTTCTAATTCCTCAGCATGTGCGTTCAAAATGTCCCAGTTTCCGACACGAATTACATGTTGCTCCCTTTGCAGGACAACTCGCATCGCGTCACAATTATAACACCTACGGTTATTTCCGCCGCCCCCACTGCTTGATCCTTGGGTGTATCCTCCGCGTCTCCCGCGTGCTCGACCCCTGAAATACCCTTGTCCCCTTCTTATATTATTAACTGGCTCCTGTTTGATGGTTATCGGCGGCGCGGACGAAGCTGGTTTTCCAGTGTAGGATTTATATGCACGTTCACCTCGCTCATAAGACAGTGCGATCCTATAGACTTCCTCTTGTAGTTTTGGTGATCGTGATAATTTTCTTTGGCAATCCGATTCCCGCATGTTCATAATAAAAATATCACGAACATTTTCGGCCGAGTTTGCAAAATCACACCTGCCCGCAAGAGCACTTAATTCCGCGTGGAATTTTTTAAACGTTTCATTTTTCCTCTGCTTTCTTCCATAGAAAAGTCCCCTCTCATGTGTCACATTTCGTTCGCGTTGGAAGACATTTTGCATTTCGTCCAATACCCGTGGGTACTTTACCGTTTTAACATTTACCGCCGGTTTTCGGGCTTTAAATATCCGTTGCGCCTCATCTACAATACAGAGATATAGGTTAGACTTCAACTTCTTCTCCGACTCGGTACGATTTTTCCCATTTACATCCTCTCTGGCACTACTGCAATAGCCGCCGCATTTAACGTACGCGCAAAGACAAAAATCGTCAGGGTCAATGTCATATTTTGCGATCATGCCCCAGTGGAACTTTATGATCCACTCCTCCTAATAGATAGGGGGTTCTGGCGTTCGTGCATCCCAGAATGATACTATATTTAGCGGATTTTCCCCCTCTTTTTCGTTCCACTGACAGCGCCATGTTGAAGTAGTGTATTGTGTAGTATAGAAAGAATAGTTGTTTAACTTGAATTGTAAAGCAACTGTAAGGCATCAAATATAAATCTTACTGCAGCTTTCTGTTTTAGATCGTACCGGACGATAGAGATCGCAAGGTCACGACAGCAGGTCCCCAGACAGAAAGAAACAAATTCATATAGCTTACATAAACTCAAACTGGTCCCTATCTCAAATACAATAATTTGGTCCTTTTTAATGATCCCAAAAATAACAAAGTTAATCATGATCCCAAAAAAATTGTAAGTAAATGAAAAATCAAATTTTTGTCTTCAAATAGTTTGGCAGAGTTATGCAGTAGCGGATGTGGAGCATGGTCAATGCCCTTTATTAGAGTGTTATGCATATGCCAATGCAGAAATTTCAAGTGTATTTCTGGTTTATTGGGGATCCCCAAGTTTGATTGATGCTTGCCATGTATGCTGACTCCGTTGCTGGACTTCACATGGTCTGGAAAGGCGTCGAAATCAATCTCCCGCACTCCAAACTGTTTGCGCCATGCAAAACATCCCTTCACGACCTTCAATTCAACCAGAGACCGGCAATAAACTTAGTTTGTCAAACTATTTCGGAAAAAATTATTCGATTAGCCAATTTCCTAATCAGCATTTGCATAATCAGCTCTCAGAAACTTTGCTGTTTTTGAGCTGCAATGTGTTTGATAAGTAGTACTTATTTAAAGTCAAATCTTTCCTATGTATTGAATTCAATTTTTTTTGTCACGGTTTTTTTTATATTGTCGGAACCTGCCTTCAAAGCTTCTTCGATGTCCAGTTTGCCATGTGAAAGGAAAAACCTGACTGTCGTATCGTCACTGCGAAACTGCTCCACGTCTCGCAAATCATACTTGGTCGGAACATTCGACTCGGCATCCAGATCTTCTTCGCCTTCGAATTTGAAGAACTTTTCCCTGAGTTGTGTTATTTGATCGTCTGTAATTGTGGTTATGTCCAAAAGAGGCATGTTGTAATATTTGCTATAAGTAACAATGTAATAAATGTAATTGTTAACTTTAATATGGCTCCATATTCTTAATAGAATTTCGCATGAATGTCCAAATAGAATTGAATTTGGTAAATATAAGAACAGACTCAGTATGTATAGTCTTTCGCAAAGCCGCGCTCCCATTGGTATTTCAATATCTACAATTTGTAAGGGATTAGAACTCGAATATAAACTTGCTCGAATACTTTTATTCCATAAATAAACAAACAATAGTGCTCGTATCATGGCGCAGCCCTGAATAGGCTGACTGCCCTGTTGCGTGTCTGATTTTTAAAAAAATCAGTTTTGAAAAAACAAAATTATAAGAATTTTTTTTTTCATTTTTTACCCACACATAATTTCAAGTGAAAATTGAAAAAAATTTGCGTCATTTATTGACGCATTGCTTGAATCAATAAGATTTTAAATTCTGAGCTTCAGACTAATTGTTCCTTTTGAGATTTTATTTTTGTTGAATAATTCCGGCGAAAACAGTAAGTGGAACCTAGTTAGGACAATTTTTATCCACAAGGAAAAGGACCAATATACGAGCTGTTGATGTCATCGCGGAAAACAGCTGTTCTGCATCTGCTTAAGAACTACATGCAGTTTTTTTGGTGATTTTTCTGGGCTTTTTCGGAATGACGGAATAATTTCATCAAGCCTAATTGCATCAAGTTGAAGCTGTGAACAATCGCATTAGGCTTTAGCTATGTTTCAATGTCTAAAGTGATTTTTAGTTTTGAAAAATAATAATTCTTTCGATTCTATATTAAATACTGAATAGCCATTCTCAAATATCTGCATAATTTTGAAACATAATTTTCGTGATTGTTATGAAAAAATGGGTCAATACTTCTTTCACATGTAAATTTTAAAAAATTTTGTTTTGTCTGAGTTCAAAGTTTTTGAGGGCTATTGAATTTGAAAAATTTCTCTTTTCACAAAAACTTTTTTGTGAGAAATACATTTAAATTTTTACAAGAACCAGAAAAACGATCGAAATCTCTGCCACACTAGAAATTTATTTTGCACATTTACCTCGGAAATCAGCTTCCTCGCTCTGGTATTTCTTTCCTTGTGATCTTTTACCATGGTCTAGATATACTTCGACAAGTCTTGGAATCAAGAGAGATACAACAGGGCCCTCTGTACTTACAACTATTCCGTTTGAAATTTTTTCAAAAGCAGTGATCACGAAAGTTTTTTTTCTGCTTGTAGGGAGAGCCGTACGATACACGGGGAAGTATACGGGGAAGCCAAATCATGAGCTGCCATCCAAACTTAAGGTGTCTTATCCTGCAGTCTAAATTTTTTTCGCTGTCTCCAGTGGGTTTTATCTTCAAAGAACAGGCCGTCGCTAACTTAAAAAGCAGAGTCTGTGCTCGGCATAATGTCTGGTCTAATATCAACCAATGGTGGTTCTGACCAATTCGACATATGATTTAAGCAAGGGCGGATATAGGACTTTCTCGAGGGGTGGGGGCGAACTTTCAAGAAACAATTCAAAATTCTATCGAAATTTTTTTAGGTCGACCAAATTGACTTTTCGAGGTCTCCCAGACCACGATAAAATCTGCAGGTACCACGATACTCTGCAGGCAAGTTATTGTTTTTTTGAAAGTCGATCAAAAACTTTTTTTTTCGGGGCGAGTTCGTTTCTTAAAATTAGTAATCATTGGCACCAAAGGCGTTTTAGAAAAGTTCTGTGATCGGTCAGAAAATAAATAGTCTCAAAGAAAGCACCGAGGAGGAGTGGTCAGTGGTTCGAATCTCTGATGGACCGTCCGCCTCAAACCCCATCCCCCTAAATCCACTACTGGACTTAAATTATCAGCTCACCTGTTCTAAAAAAGGCGCAAGAATTAAGGACATTAGGAGAAACACGGGGCATTTGCTCAATCAATGAACTATAAGTCAGTAAATGGGAGCTATGTTTTTCCCCGTAAACAATTTTTCTTACAAATCTTTCTTGCTTTTCTTACTTGCTTTATTATTGACACATTAACATCCTGGCTCGTTCCCGTTTGACTTAGAGGTAATATGGCGGACTTTGTACCCCGAGGTGAGTAGTTCGACTCCCAGCCGGACCTAGTTTGAAAATGTTCGGTAATTTGCAAATGTTCGGTAACTTGCAAATGTTCGGTAACAAATTCAGATCTACCAACTATTTGCAAGCTCACATACTTTCCAAATTTAAAAAAATATATATTTTTGGTTGAATTTTTCGATTTGAAGTCACCACTTCAGAGTAAAATCTAAAAACAATCGCAATTTTCGGGCCCAAAAAGTTCAAGTGACAACTGGCCATTTTTTAGCGTTATTAGGACAATGAAAATTTACGCTGAAACTCTAGCTCAATTGCCAAGAATCGATAGGAAATAATATCAAACTGCGCCTCCTCCAAAGTCAAATAGAATTTAGAAAAATATTTTCTCCCAAATACTGTCAAAATATATATACCCAAAAAACTATCCAAATTTTTAATCTAGAGAAAACCAATTTTTGTAAGAATGAATAGCAAAATCCGAATATCTTTGTCAAATTTGATTTTCGTCTCAGTCTACTCAATATGAAGATTCTAATTTTGGTCTCACGAACATTCGAAAGTGGGCGGCTATATTAGACGAAAATTAAAAAGTATTAAAAGGCGAAAGCTTTCAGATGAGAAAGTGTGCATTGTAGGAGAAGCCCTTATAAAAATTTTGTCAGTTGCTTTTTCTGCGATTTGAATAACTGCAAAAATTTAAGAATTGAACTATTGAAACTCAGAGGCGGAAATACTTTAATTCTGGAAAAGGGATATAAGCAAGAAACATAAGCAATCATCTAAAATAAGTTACAACTGGTGCGTAATTACGGATTGTCGCAGCACACTAATTACTGACAACCCGGTCAAAAATCATTCAAACACCGGGTGAGCACACCCATGAGCCCGATGAAAAATTTTGAGATCAATCGAAAACGAAGCGAACCAGAGAGTTAAAGTCGTCTACGATAACGAATTGCCTAAATTTTTATTTTCTCCCCCGATTATTACAGAAGAACCGGGGAGAACTACTTAAGGCCCAAGTTTGTCTGCTACCACTACCGCTGAAATTTCTTTCTGATGTGTTCATAACATGATTAGAATAAAACTGTCGTCTTCTTTTGTTTTCAAGGCTTGCGTTATTTGCAATGTAGTCAAAATATTCTCGCTAAACGGACTTTCAAAACGTCTCTATGCGCATAAGGGCAACTTTTTTCATGTTTGCAGTGGTACAAGAACAAAATTCCAGTTTTATAGGCCCTTCAACCCGAAAAAACCGAAGCTCATTATAACCAATTAACCAAAGTCATCAGTGTTTAGTGTTCTTTTTTAGGCTTATCACTTAGCCCTGAAACATTTTTATTGGATTATTAAACAGGTCTGAAAGCCGCTTAGAACTACCCTTTAAAAATCATCTTTGAGTGCACGAAATTGCACGTCAATTTAAGTAAGAAAAAGTTGAGTAAAATAAATATGTATTTGCACGTGGAACGTCTATTTTTGTCAGAGTAAGTTGCGTACCACTATTTTTTGTGAAAACTAGCATGCTTCCTGGAGCCGCGATAATACTTTTGAAACAAGCCTTCTCTCTGGCTTGTTATCCAAAACTTCCAAAATTTCAAGTTTTTGCTAATTCGTCATGTGTTTACAAATTATTTAATTCAGGCTGTATCCAATATTAAACGTTTTGAAGTTCTCAGTTTTTGGTTTTGTATGAAATAACTTTGTTTCGATTGATTTCTAATGCGGTTTATTCAGGCTTTAACGCAAAGATTTCTTCTTCAACTAATACCTAATTTCGTCTGATATATGCACTTTCAATTTCGCCTGTTATAGTTGTCACCTAAATATACAGCGCCATTTGGAATAAATTCGCGCCTTTTGATGTCAAAGACGCGGGATTGTTTTTGCGATTTTGCGAAAACTATTTTAGGCGAAAAAAATTGCATATTTCAGACAAAATTAGCTATTAAGTGAAAAACAAATCTTTACGGTAAAATTGAATTGACTGCATTATAAATCAATCGAAACCAAACTCTTACGTATGATATAAGTCCTTGAACAATAGATATACTCTGAATTGATAAATTTATAGACACGTGACTAAATTTTGAAAAATACAATTTTTTTAAAAGTCTATAAATTACGGCAAATTGACTAATAAATTTGAATTGTTTTTAGTCCAGACTCATAACAAATCCATAGTATTTCTAGCTTTTCATTGAACACTCGTGACTTTGTGTTTTTGATGGCGAGGAGGGGGTTGGGGGAGGCGGATCGCCTTTCTTTTTCTTTTCTTTCAAAATGCAAATTTTTTCCCAGTTTTTTGAAGGTTTTAGATAATAAGCCGGAGATAAGGCTCGTTTCGACCAACATCGTGGATACAGAAGGTGTAAAAGTATGATTGTTTGTTCATTTAACCTCTGATCTTTACTGATCGTTGACCTTTAAGTTGTTAATTTATACACCTGCCAAAAGCGCAACGGCTTTTGGTAGACTCGGAATTGGCCACTATCTTTTATGATACGTAACAAACAAACCGAAACCAATTCAATCTTTTAAACCTCTCTTACTTTAGTTAGCATCACCGTCTTTTATTTAGTCTTAAATAAAAGCCTACTGTTTTTAGTAGGAATCTTAATCATCCGTAATCTTAATCTATTCTTAGCTTAAGTACACTCCTATACAACTACGAGTGGTATCATAATTTTTTAACATGGCGCAGTCTAACGAATCGAATCTACGTGGATTAGAGTTTTTTTGGAACAACTCAACAAACGAAAATCAACATGACTGGGAACGGTGGGCGGAAAAGTTTCAATTGACAATTATTGCGAAAGACTCCGTAGACATCGAAGATGTAATTAACCCACCGATAAGAAACGAACTAACTTACCCTACGGCAGAACCACCGGACCCATCCGAGGATCAGGCCCGTCGGGCCGAAAAAGAGGAACATCACAGAGTAGCAGTACAAAATTATAACGAAGAATTAAGAAGGAGAAGGGCGGAAGATAACGCCAAATTTAACGGACTTCAAATCGGAGACATTGACAAGAAGCTAAAATCACAGTTATACCTAGCACTCGGAAAA